AGGGCGCCCGGCCAGCGGGGCTCCCTCCAGGCCGCCGGCCCGCCCCTCCGGCGGCGAGGCCGGCGCCCACCGGCCCTCCCGGGCTTGGGCCGCGGGCCCAGCTGGCCCGGGGGACTCCCCGGGAGGTCAGAGCCTTCCCCCTCCGGGCTGCCCCGTCCGCGCCTTAACCCTCTGGACCCAGAGCTTCAGCTCTCGCCCCGGTTCAAGAGGAGAGGGACTCTCTCCGGGACCTGTGAGTGAGGCCTAGCAGCTGGGCCCAGACAAGGGATTGCCCAGAAACCGGGAAGGTTAACCACCCCTGCCCCAGGCTCACCCCCACACCAGCAGCTTTCATGCCAAGCTGGAGCTGTAAATACTCCAGGGATAGGCTCAGGCTGACAAAGTCGCACTAGAGTGTTAATGACTGAGCTGATGCCCCAGCCAGAACTCGGGGCAGGCATCTGGTTGAGCCAGTTATCAGCTGTGTGTCCTGAGGCCAGGGTCTTGAGCTCCCGCTCCCGGAGTGGTTTCCCTATCAGTGAAATCAGGATAAGAAAAACCCCTGCAGAACTGAGTTGCTGCTACCTTCAAGGGATGCTTGCTGAAGCGCAAAGGAGGGGTGGGATTAGAGGGTAGAGAGGGCACAACCTTTCAAACGCCCCCCCCCACTAACCCTGGGCTAACCCCAATCCAGGTAAGGCCACAGAGGCTGGGGGTGGGGGGGAGCCACCAGAAACTAAATAGATTTCCAAAACAGATCCCTGAGATTCAGGGCTCTGCAGCCCCAGCCCCTGCCTCTTTGGGGCAGCTGGGGAACAGCGAGGTCTTGGGCCTTGGAGCCCCACAACCTGAAGATGGAACGTGACCTGGTGCCACTGGGTGACGTCTGAGCACACACCCTTATGCGACTCCCGGCGTGGGCAGATGTTATGTTATAGGGATGAGGCCACGCTCAAAATCTGCTGTTGACAGACCCTGGACAGCCACAAGTCCCTTCCTGTTTCTGAGACCCAGTTCCTTCCCTGGTACGGTGAGGGGTTGGGCCGCAACCCTACGGAACTTGTGCTCACCTCATCTCTCCCCACCAGGGAGATGGGAAGAATGGCTCTTCCTTCCCTCATAGAGCCAGTGTTTTCTTTTCTTCCATTTAGTCACCAACCAACATCCACTCAACATCCGTCCAACATCAACCATCCATCCGTCCGTCCAACCAACATCCACCCAAGGAACCCAGGGGGTTGAGTTCAGACAGACCTGAGCTTAATCAAATCACAGTCCTCCTTTTATGTCTGGCGACCTGCCCCAGGTGACTTAGCCTCCCACAGTCTCAGTTTCCTTGTCTGTAAAATGGGCTTAAGGGCTGCCTCATTCAGGTTTTGGGAGACTAAATGAAAAGGAAATGGCGCCTATAGTCGAAACCGGGGGTGTATTTAACCCACACGGGCCCGATTACTTGCTGCCCTCTTGCAGTTCATGGTCAGTAACAGCATCTGCCTGGGTCGATACCGGAGTCTGAGCTCTGAATCCCCCAGAATCTCCAGGCCCCCTTCCAATGTCCCCAGAAGAGTCTCTGGGAGAGGGAGATTTATCACCACCTAGGTCCCAAAGGAGACGTGAAAAAGCACAAGGTAAACAATGAGGACCCTCGGGGGCGCCTGGCTGGCTCAGTCGGTAAAGCCCGTGACTCTCAATCTCAGGGTCAAGAGTTCAAGCCCTGTGTTGGGCACGGAGCCTACTAGAAAGAAACAAAAACAAGAGGCCCTTCCGTGCACAGGGTGACGACTCCGGACTTCCAGGCTCAGTCTCCAGTGAGACAGCCCCAACTCTGTCGCTCTGCGTCTGGGGCCTGCTCCTTAAACAGTCCCAGCCTCAGTTTCCCCGTCTACAGCGTTGCAGACAATGCCTGTAAAACACCCAACACATACATGTCCCTCGATGAACAACTACGATCCTTAGAAACGGGCAGAGAAGGGATCTAGGGGCCGTGGCCGTGCACAGAAGGTGTAACCGCAGAGGTGGCGTGGCGCCCGCCACTGTAAGCGAGGTTCGCGACAACACGCGTGTGCACGCGCCCCAGCACACGGACACGAGGGCGAGGCCTGCGCGGGGCGTGCTCGCGTGCCAACCACCGTCTGAGACGCGCGGCTCGGGCGCCAGGACGGCTGCGAGACGGCGGAGGGCGCGGTCGGCGGGCCACACCCGGCCGAAGAGGTCTCTACCCGCGGGAGGTGAGCGCAGCTGAGCGTTCCTACCTCAAGGGCGATTTCCCTTCGCTGGGCCCCACTGGTGATGTCACGGGTGGCGGAAGGGCCATGGGCAGGCGACCCCGCCCCCCGCCTCCCCTCTCTGGGCGCGCTCCCGCGCCAGCCAATGGCAGAATGTTCTGGAAGCACTGCAATCCATTCTGCATGCTCAGAACCTAATCTTATGACACTCTAAGGGCTTTATTAATAGCCTATTAGTGGGTAATTCATGCATTTTGATGAGAAATCATCTAGTGGTCGTTTATCGGGGAGGAGGGCTATGGGTGCAGGTAGGGGGCGTGGAGCGCGGGGGCGTCGCCTCCACGTTGCTTCCCGGCACCTGCGGGCGGAGGACAGCGACTCCCCCAGGTCCCGCTGCGGCGGTGCGTCTACAATGCCCCCTCCTGACAACCCAGCCACTCATTAATCTTGATGGGCTTTCTGCTGAGCATTCTTCCCGGCTTTCAAACCGTTCGCTAATTGCAATTAATCACTTACCGAAACAGATGTCAGGAACAATGGGGCTGGAAAGGCTGGAGGCTTGATAAAGCTGTCAGGAGAGGGTGCGTGGGTGGCTGGGGGACCAGGGGGCCCGACGCCCTCTGGGTTCTGGGCGCTTGGGGGGTGCCAGGCAGCCCGCTCCTGCCCTGGGCTCAGGGGGTGGGGGGAAGGCGAGGCCGCTTTGGGGAGCTCTGGGGAGGCGGGTTCAGAGTCAAGGCCAGGTGTCAGAGGGGAGGGGGGGGGGGGGGACACCCCACCCCCCCCCCCCGGGGGCCAATTTCCCGCCCCGATGCCCCACCCCACCACGCGGGGGGGGCGGGGGAGGGGGACCGGCAGGTGCTTGGATCAGAGAAGCAGGCTCTGCGGTTGGGGTTTTCGGTGTTTTTTTGCCCTGTGGTAACATGAGAATTGTATGTTCACATTAGTTGCCAACATTTGAAAATCAGATTTGACAGAAAAATCTGGACCTCTGGCTTCTCTTGAAAAAATAAAAAGATTTTGCCACACGCCATCTTGCAGCAGCCCCCCCCACCCCCCCGCCCCCGCCCCCATGGTCTGGGCCACAGTCCACCCCAGGTGGCTTCCCTCTCCCTCTGGCTCCTAGCCTGTCGGGCTAGACAGGAGAGGCTTTGCACATGACCACCCTGGACGGGCTCCTGTAACTCGGAGCCGCGCTCACAGGGTTTGAACGCTGGACATAAGCAATCTGCCCCCTGAGGGGCGCCTGGGGGGCTCCGTCGGTGAAGCGTCCGACTTCTGCTCAGGTCACGATCTCACGGTTCGTGGGTTCGAGCCCCCGCGTCGGGCTCTGTGCTGACAGCTCGGAGCCTGGAGCCCGCTTCGGATTCTGTGTCTCCCTCTCTCTCTGCCCCTCCCCTGCTTGCGCTCTGTCTCCCTCTCTCTCTCTCAAAAATAAATAAACATTAAAAAAAAAAAAAAAAAGAAATCTGCCCCTTGAGGCAGAAGTTTCAACCTTAGCTGCACAGGAGAATCTCTTTGGGGGCCCTTAAACATTCTCACGCCCAGGACCCTCTGGGACGGGGGTTGGGAATGCCTTGTGTCAGTCAGTGGTCCTCAAAGGTCCTCAAAGTGGCATCTCCGAGCAGGGGCAGCGTTACCTAGGAACTTGCTGGAAATGCAGGTCCTCGGGCCCCATCCCACACCTGCTGAACCTGAGACTCCGGGGCTGGGGCCAGCAAGCTGTGCCCGAGGGAGAGCCCCCGGGGGGACTCTGACACCCGCTGAAGTCGGAGAATCACCGTTCTGGACCGTGACCTGGGCGGAGGTCACGCAGGCGTATTCGTGCGTAAAATTCCCTCCAACCGTACACATAAGGTGAATGCCACCTGCCACATCTCCGCGCCCACACCGCGTCCCCAGCCAGTCACGCCAGAATCTCTGGGGGTGGCAGGCGGGTGCCTGTATTTTGTCAAGCTCCCCAGGTGACCGCGGCTGGGAGCCTGGGCTGAGAGCCACTGTGTGGGCCCAGCTCACCAGCTGCGCTCACCCACCTCCTCCCTGGCCGCTTTTGCAGGTGCCGAGGACGCACTGTGGTAGGACTCAGTCTCCGAATCACCAGGCGGGGCTCCCTCGGCCCTCCTCCCGTCGGGCTCCCTCCGGGAATCTACTGAGCGGGGTCCTCCCAAGGCTGGGGGATCTCGGGCAGGTTGCCTGACCTCTCTGTGTGGGCCTCTCCCCTCCTCCGCACTGGGGTCACGACCACACAGGAGGCACTCCCCGAGTCGGGACAAGGATGGCTCGTCTTGCCATCTGCGTGGCCTCACCGCTCCAAATGACCGCGAGGGGCTAAACGGTATCCCTCGGCGTATGTCTGTGCTTGTTTTCCCATCTGCGAAACGGGCTTCGTGCTCCACAAGGTTGTGGAGATTCAGGGAGTGAACACTGAAGCTCTCGGCCCAGCACCGGGTCCTCTGAGAGGGCTTGGAAAGTGCTAGACGCTGTTAAGATCCTGCTGCACAGCTGGCCCAGAGCCAGGCTCAGGCTAAGCCCCTGATGTGGTCATGGAGGGGACGGAAGAATGAACGAGACCCGCCAACAGTCGCTCACTGCACAGCCCCTACTGTGCACCTGCCCGGTTCACGGCCCCGTGCACGGCCCTGGGAATAACGCCCCGGGCGGAACAAGTCCAGCGGGGAGGCGGAATAAGTAAACACGCACATCCGTGCACATGTCAGCTATGATGCAGCGCTCTGGAGAAAAACAGAGCTGGTAAGGTAAACAGAGAGCCCGAGGGAGGGAGGGAGGTCTCACCAAGGCTGCGCTTATAAAAAGGAAGGGAGGCCAGGGATCATGCAGATGCGTGTGAGTGGGAAGAGGGTTCAAGGCAGCAGAAGCAGCGAGTGCAAAGGCCCTGGGGCATGTCTGAGGACCAGGAAGGAGGCCAGTGTGGCTGCAGGAGACCAAGTAAGGCAGAGTGCGGTTGTGGCACAGATCACACTAGGCCTGGCGGCCGGAGTAAGGGCTCTGGCTTTGCCCCAGTGGCACGTGAGCCATGGGAAGCTGCTGAGGAAGCAGGGGGGACGTGTTGTGCCTCATTAGCACATTCACACTTGTCACATGTAAGGACAAGCTGCGCCCCGTCCGCCCACAGCTACCAGAGCCCCTGGGGTAAATACAGGGTCTCTGGCTCCCCGGGCACAAGGCATCCAGGAGAGATCGCTTCTGGGCAGACGCCTGGGCCTTCTCTATGCTCCGAGGGTCAGGTACTGGCACGTGTGCTGGGCACACACCCATCACAACATGATCACGGGCATCTGGCACGACGGGCCATTCTCTGAAGGTGCCCCAGACAGACGCATGTTCCGGGCAGGAGTCGCGCGTCGTGGGAAGGTGTACATATCCGGGGCTATGTCTCCCTGCGTGTGGCTCTGCGTGTTCCGTTCGCTCGCAGGTGTACGTTGCAGGCACACGGGTGCCCACAGATGTCTGCTGCTCCCTCACGTGTTCTCGGGAGTTATGCAGCGTGTTGGGTGTGTGTGTGTGTGTGTGTGTGTGTGTGTGTGTGTGTGTGTGTATTCGAGTCTGTGTGTTTTGTGTGTCGGCGTGTGCTTAGAGCTGTGGGTGTGCCATGGTGGGCACAGAACCGACACGTGCCGAGCCCATTCCTCCTGGGAGGTCCTGGCTCACATGGGGTAGACAAGCTCACGGTTCCATTTCCCAGGTGAGCAGACCAGGGCTCCAGTCAGGATTCAAAGCGAGATGTGTGGCACATGCCTGTGTCCTGCCTTGCCCTCTCCGGCCTCCTCTTCAAGCCCTTGTCACTAAAACATGAGGATCTTAGAGCCACCATCATCTATCATCCATCCATCCATCCATCCATCCGTCTGTCCGTCCGTCCATCTGTCCATCCATCCATCCTTCCTTCCATCCTTTTCCCACAAATTCCGAGAGAGCGTTGACTGAAAGTGTAGCTTCTGGAGCCTGCCAACTGAGTAGCTGAGCAGCTGTGGGCAGGGGACCTCACCTCTCCGTGCCTTAGTCTCCCTATTTATAAGAAAGTATGGGGGCGCCCGGGTGGCTCAGTCAGGTGAGCGTCCGACTTCGGCTCAGGTCACGATCTCGCGGTCTGTGGGTTCGAGCCCCACATCGGGCTCTCTGCTGTCAGCACAGAGCCTGCTTTGGATCCTCTGTCCTCCTCTCTCTCTCTCTCTCTGCCCCTCCCCCACTCGTACTCTGTCTCTTTCTCAAACAAAAATAAACATTAAAAAAAAAAACAAAACAGGGGCGCCTGGGTGGCGCAGTCGGTGAAGCGTCCGACTTCAGCCAGGTCACGATCTCGCGAGATCTCGCGTGATCTCGCATGAGTTCGAGCCCAGCGTCGGGCTCTGGGCTGATGGCTCGGAGCCTGGAGCCTGTTTCCGATTCTGTGTCTCCCTCTCTCTCTGCCCCTCCCCCGTTCGTGCTCTGTCTCTCTCTATCCCCAAAATAAATAAACGTTGAAAAAAAAAATTAAAAAAAAAAAAACAAAAAAAACCCCCAGCTCTGTATCTATAGGATACTAACTATATTAAGCCCGAGGAGGGAGCAGTGGAGGAAGTTCAGATTCCTCCTGCGGAATCTGCAAGACTCCTTGCTGTGGATTCTTGGCCAAGGTGAGTCACTTGCGTCTCAGCCTCGAACTCTCCACCCGTGATTCAGGAACAAAACTGTTCTGTCCTAGCATCGGGAGGCCAGGGAGTTAAGACTGTCCAGCACAGCCTGATAAATGGGGGCTGCCGTGACTTTAGGAAGGTGGGAAGGAAGGCTGGCCTGGCCGGCCTTGGAGGGTGGGCCGGGTGCTGGCGTCCCCTGGGTGTGCAGGGGTGCGGCCCCCAGCCCAGCAACACCCTTCCTCCGGGGTCTGGCTCCCAGCTCCTCCGGTGCCAAGCTCCTGGCTTCTAGCAACCTGGCCCCCGGGGGGGGACCTGCGTGTCCTCCCTTGGCTTTTTCGGTCAGTCCCCCGGCGCCCGCTCCACCCGCGGCCTGTGTTAGCTTCTTCCTGTTGAATCCTCGGGCCCCTGGCTGGGACGGCACGGCACGGCACGGGCAGCTGTGCGACAGCTGTGACCGCACAGGGGCAGGCAGGGACACGGGGCGCCGCCAAGCCCCCCGCGCCCGAGCACCCAGGGAGGGCCGACCGGAGCCCTGGGTGCACAGCCCCGCCCCCCTGCCTCCGCCGCCAGCCTGGCCCTCTGCCCGCCCCGCTGCCTTCTGGGATGAAAGAAAAGCTGCTGCCGCCCATACGTGCGGGACAGCCTCTGCCTGCAACCCGAGGAGGCCCTGACACATGTTAAAATAAATATTCTGCAAATATGATGTTCCATATGTATGACTTCGTGGGGTGATGATTTTCCTACTGATCGCTGTGACAGCTGTGCTAGGAACACGGGCCTGGGCGGCCCTCGCCGTGCCACGTGGCGGGGGGCGAGGGGGGCGCCGTGGCGCGGGAGCATCTGGCGACTCGGGACGCGCGGGGAGCCCGATGCCTGTCAGTGCTCAGCGCGGGCACATTAGTGATTCCGAGGGACGGATGGAGCAGGTGTTCCCAGGCAGCCTGTTCGTGATAATTACTTTTAGATTGTTTTAAAGTATTTAAGCGAGATCCTGGAGGGCTGGGAGGGAAGGCAGAGGGACGGTGGCTGGCGGGTGGGTGGGCGCCCCCGACCCCGGAGGCCAGAGGCGGGCGAGGACCAGGCCGCGTGACGCGGGCGGGTCCCACTGGCTGGAGGGTCAACGTGTGGCTTGTACCAACGAGTCCGGCTGGGCCAGCGCTTACAATGTCGACACAGTCCGGTCCCATGGCCCGGGCCCAGGCCCAGGCCCAGGCCTGGCCTCTCTCCAGGTCCCCTAACGGAAGGCGGGCCACGGGTAGAACAGGGGAGGTGCCTCGAGCATCAGCCCTGACACTGCATCTCAAGCCTCGACTTCCAACAGGGACATGTGGCCCCCGCCTCTGCGAGGGGCGGGGGGGGGGGGGCTGAGGCCCACTTCCTGCCCCGGTGCTGAGAACACACAGGGAAGCCGAAGACGGTCCCGAGGGACCGACTGAGTAAGCGAACAAATGAATGAGTAGAAGGGACGCACGGGGTCGTTGTTGCTGGGGAGACCAGAGCTGCCTTTCGGTCTCCTTCAAGAGACTCCAGAACATTCTCGGCGTGAGTAGACAACAGCTCCAAACAGCAGGCTGGTGTGTGGCCTGCAGAGCCCTGGGGAGTGGGGGCTCGGGTCTCACTAGGGGCTCGGCCTGGTCAGCGATCAGGGCAGGAAGTGCCACCTCTGGAGGTGTCCTCAGCTCAGCCCCCGTCTGTGGGCAGTGGATGCCAGGACGGACACCGGCCAGGGGCTCAGAGGGGCCCCCTCGAGACACGCGATGACCTGGGGACAGGCACCTGGGGAGAGCTCTGCATGCAGCAGCAGCAGGGGTGGGGACGGCGAGCGGACAGACAGACGGGTGCCCACTCTCCCACAGCCGCGGTGGCTTGGCGGAGCACGGGGGCCGCCCCGCCCCTCCTGGCGCCCTGCCCCCCTGCCCTGATTCACTCTCTCCTTTGCCCACGAGTCCTCTCAAGCCCTGGCCCGTCGGGATTCACTGTCCAGGACGCAGCAGTGCCCCGTGAGCGTGTGCGAGGCCAGGCCCCCCTGGACTGACGGGACGGGAGCCCCGTAGGCTGGGCCCTGAAGTTTCCCCCGGGGCTCTCAGGTACAGCAGGAGGTGACCACAGCCCAGAAACGGGGGCCCAGGCCTGGAGCCCCGCGCAGGGGTGGGGGCCGGCTGGGCGTCCCCAGGGGGCTTGAGGCTAGAGCTGGCCTATGGGAGCGGGCACGGGGGGAGGGCAGAGGCCTGGCTTTGCTGCTGCTGCTTGGGCAGGATGCCCACGCAGGGCCGGAAATGGCTCCCCAGCCTGTCTGGGACCTTTGCCTCTCTCTGCAGACAGGAGTCCCTCCGGCCACTTCCCGCCCAAAGGAACATCTTCACTCTTCAGCGGGGCAGGTCAGAGGATTCGATTCTGCTTCCCGCGGAACTGGCTCTGCCCTCCAGCTACACCCTGCCCTCCGCAGGCAGGGATCAGAGGGCTGGGGGCCGGGAGCGGTGCTGTTTACAGCTGCTCTTTAAAATCCAGGCAAGTTCAATATTAGCCGTGGGGTTTGTGCAATCTGTTGCCAAGATAAAGCAGCCGGTGGGGGAGCAGGGTGCCGTGCCCTGCCCCGCTGGAGCCCAGAGCGGCCAGGCCTGGTTAATGAACAGCCAGCGGGCTCCAGCAGCTGCTCCCCCGAAGCCTGCCTGCCAGGGCCCACCGAGTCCAACCCCGGGGCGACAGTGCTCCGTCCACGGGGCACCTGAAAGCTTCCTTCCCGCTCGGCTCAGAAAGAGGCCCAAGCCCCGAGGGGCCTCCAAGCACCCGTCCCGGCTGCTTCACGGCCTCACCCACCCCTCTCCTCACTGCCCGCCGCAGGGCCTTTGCACCTACCGTGCCCTCTGCTTCCTCACCAGCTTCAGGCTGGAGTGTCACCTCCTGCAACTTCAGCTCCACGTGTCCCTTTCCTGCCCTCCCCTGGCCTTACGATTTCCAAAGACCTCATCACACACTCTGCCTGGATCGTGGATCGCTTTGTGCACCCGTTTATTTTCTGGTCATGCCCGTCTGTGAGGGCAAGGTCCTTTCGTAAGAAAAATTTTGGGGGGCCAGAACAGCATCAGGCACAGAGCGGCTGTTCGATAAGCATCTGTGCCATGGGCCCGGACTCCCGGCCCAGTGCTCCTCCCCGCACGCCACCTCCCTGCCTCCCGGCCTCTCCTTCCTCCTTGCTCCCTGCAGGTGTCCGCCACCTGCTGGGCCGCCCTGGGAGCAAGCTGACATCCCTCATTTAGTGGCCCCTTCTCCTCAGAGCCTCTCACCGTCAGAGCTGCTGGGAGCCACGCACAGGAGGAGCTGACAGTCACCCCTGCAGATTTCATTTCTTATTCATGCCGGTAATGTAAACGGGACTGTGTCTGGAGCAAAGTCACTTAACCCATTAGAAGAAGCTTCGGCTGCATCACAGCCCCAGATGCGGGTGGCGGGGGCTGCGGCGGGTGAGTCGGGCCTCAGACACAGCTGGGGGGGGGGCACTGCCCAGGACTCGGGTCCCCAGACGGGTCCAGACCCGGCTTCCCACACTGGCTTATCCCCACACAAAGGAACGGTCAGTTCTGCGCATTCACCAGGACCATGCCAGGAAGGGCGCCCCCCGGAGGTGTTCAGCAAGTCGGTTAAAAATGCCGAGTTCGTGGGGGGTGCGGTGTGGGCTGAACGTGGAAGGAATACGGGGAAGAGGCCCGTCCCGGGGAAGCCTTCAGTGACTGCCCACCACTGTTGGTACTTTTGGGAAGAAAACTCTTGAGTCAGGGCCCCCCGGGGTGGGGAGGGGGGAGGGTGGGGGGGGGGAGCTCGAAGGAAACGTGAAGCACGGAAATACAGCCGACCTCTCCCGCCGCCTCTGGGGAAGCAGGCGGTATAAAAAGCGATACTCTAGCTGTTACCCCTTGTGCAGGCACAGGTGCACATGTGCACACGCGGAGGCCATGCACGAGGACAGCTTTGCAGAAAGAGGGCCAGATGGTTCAGGAAACCCGCCTTCTCAGAAGGAAGGAGCCTCTGTGGTCAGGAAGTAGCCGCCCAACGGTGCTGAATGCGTCAGTGACGAGCTCGCCGGGGCCGCTGGTTTACCCAGCTCTACGTCCTCTAAGCTCTGGGCCCGTGAGCCTCCTCGGGCCTCAGGGTCACGGCCGCACGGCGAGGCGATCGCACACCCCCGGGTCGTGGGCTGCTGCGGCAAGGATGATATGAGACACGACGGAGTGAGCACTTCCGGGTCTGGTGGCCTCGGGACCCCAGCCGGCTGTGCATCCTCGGGCAGGCCCCGCCCCTCTCTGTGCTTTGCTTACTCCGCGTTGAATGAGGGGAGAGTCGGCGCCCTACTTGCTGTGCTCCTTTGTGGGGTGTATCATCCAGGGCCGGAGAGACAGGAGAACTGGGGTGATCCGTGGAGAGCAGGCACCTGGTGAACGCCCCGGGGCCCCATCCAACCATGATCCGGGGCCAAGGCCAGAGACAGCCCTCAGAGCCCCTGTTCTGGGCCCAGAGGGCTGGGAAACCTGGTCCATGAGAGGCCGGGGCCCCGCCTGCACCCCCACCTGCCCAGCTCTCCTTCCGGGGTGTATTTCCCAAACGCTCCCACGCTCAGTGCCTGCTGGGTGCTCCCTAAACGTTAAGTGTAAGCCTCCTGAGGGCCCTTGAGTACGTACTGTGATTCTGCCTGTTTGGCCGAAGAGGAAACTGAGGCCCAGAGCGTCAGGAGACATGACTGGACGGGCAGGGCACGAGGCCAGCAGGGGAGGCACATAGTGGGAGCACGGTGGGGGAGGGGGGCGGCTTATGGGCCCGAGTGGCGCCCCCTGGTGGAGGCTCACAACACTGCCGCTCGAGGGGCCTCCCACCCTCTCCGGGGGGCCCTGGAGGTGGTCCTAACCCCCCCCCCCCCACACACACACACTCAGGCCAACTGGAAGCCACCCGCCCTCAGCCTCTGGGAGCAGTGCACAGGTGAGCATTGTTAATCCCCAGACTCGGCAGGGCCACGGGTGACGGGCGGGCGCCCCATCACGGGGGTCCCAGCGGCCAGACACAGCCAGCAGGACTGGGTGGGGCCAGAGAGCACAGGTGCACGGTCACAGTCTCGGGACAGCCTGGCACTCACGGCCGTGCCGTGCACGCTCCCTGGTTTCCTCTGAGGTAAACGGAGGGGGACGATAAAACGGGTGAGGATCAGACCCTGCCTGGCCCCATGTGAGAGTCCGGTGGCCGTCCTAGAGGCATTCTCCCCCAAGTCTGGGAGCCCCGAGTCCCAGATCAAAGCATGGGTAGGGCCACGCCCTCTTAAGGCTCTAGGAGGATCCTCCCTGCTTCTTCCACTCTCGGGGGGGCTGCCCGCACACTTGGCCACTTCACGGGGCCTTCTTAGAGGGACTCCAGTGTCAGATTTAAGCCCCACCCCCCTTATCCAGTATAACCTCATCTAAACTAACTGCGTCTGCAAAGATGCTATTTCCACAGAGAGTTCTGAGGGGCGCCTGGGGGGCTCAGTCGGGTGAGCGTCCGACTTCGGCTCAGGTCATGATCTCGCGGTTTGTGAGTTCGAGCCCCGCGTCGGGCTCTGTGCTGACAGCTCGGAGCCCGGAGCCTGGTTCGGATTCTGTGTCTCCCTCTCTCTCTGCCCCTCCCCCACTTGTGCTCTGTCTCCCTCTGTTTCTCAAAAATAAATAAACGTTAAAAAAAAAATTTTAAAAATCAAAAATCAAAGAGAGTTCTGAGGCTCCAGTCGAGGACCGTCGCCGGGCACTTCCCAGACCCGTGACAATGACAACTACCAACAGAAGGAGGGACCAAAGAGTCCCAGCCGGGTCTCACAGGCGCCTTCCCAGCCACGACCATCCCCGCGGGCGCCCCACGACTCGGGCGCTCGGGGCTTCACTGGGTGTGCACACCCCAGTCCCTCGGGGCTTCTCAAAACTCCCCCTGCATGACCCCCACGTGGACCCCGTCTGTCAGGACTTCTGGGGTAGGGCCTGGGCACCAGAGGCGTTTCAGAGTCCCCTGGGGCGACCGCAGCAGGTCTTCGAGGCCGAGGAGCGTGGCGCACAGGCGAGGGAGAGACGGTCCCTTGCTAAAGTCTGGAGCGTCTGCTGACGTCCACGCGCCCTCCATGGTGAGAGCTGTCCCCAGGGCAGGGCGCCCTCGCTGCAGTGCCCGGGCCAGCTCTCCCTGGGGCTCCGTGCTCCCCGTCCGCCGCTCACTGCCAGGTGTCCCCCCACCCGGCCTCCCAGCTTCATGCGCCATCTGTGTGGGGAGAACACCCACGTTCGGAGCGCCAGACTCTAACGCGACTGCCAACTGGATCTGTACTTGAGCGTCTAGCAGAATCTCTTACCGTGGCCAGGAAGGGGCTCCCCTCCTTCTCCCCAGAGCGCTCCTTCTGTCAACACTGTCCCTCCAGCGCCTCAAGTCAAAACCTGCAGGACCTCTGCTCCCCTCTTCCTCTCGTGTCCCCCTCTGACCTGCCCCCAAGTCCCAACAACGCTACAGTCGGAAGGTAGCCGGATTCCGGCCACTCCCTCCCAAGCGACTACCCTGGCCCTGCAAACCGCCGGGTCTTGCCCCGGTCCCCCACTGCTGTCCTGGCCCACCCCAGTCTCTTCTCCCCACTGCCCCGGCAGATCTTGGGGCAGCGGCCTGGAAGGGACGACGCGGAGGCTGTCCGTCCCTTCAGCTCTGCACCCCATCCTCTCAGGGGTAACTGTCCCCAACAACCCCCCCCCCCCCGGCCAGACGGCGGTGGCCTGTCTGTGCTGGCAGTTTCCAGCAGTCACGATGGGCTTCCTGGAGGAGGCAGGGCTTGTGCTAAGTGCCGATCTGCACGGGGGGGGGGGGGGGGGGGCGGCCAGAAGGAGACCGGCAGTCCACCACGGGCAACGGAGCGGAGGTGAGGGGACCAGTGTGCAGGGAAAGGCGGCGAGCAAGCTGTGTGGTCTGCCTCTGAAGGAGCCGGGGGTCAGGGGCTGCCTGGCACAGCCCTGGGGCCCCGAGTCTCGCAGCTTCCACTCGTGGAGACCACACCCAGGCGGTTAACCCGCTTCACGCAGCCCAACAGATAGATTCCTGCTCAGCCCATTTCTAGCAGCCCTGCCCCCACCGTGGCTTCCTCTGGTCCAGGGATTCTCTCTGTGGCCGCCGCCCGACCCATGGAGTCAGAAAGGCCGGGCCGGGGCCCGGCCATACGGATTTCAACCCACCTTTCAGGGGGTGCTGATGACACTAGATTTCGAGAACCCCAATCAGGCCCCGTGGAACCTTATGACTATCGGGGCCTTGAGCCCTACCCAGCCCTGCTGGACTCGGGATCGGCCTCCTAGGGATGCCACCTGAGCGTGTGACCACATGTGGCCAAGGCCTCCCCAGGGGGAACAGAGCTGGCGAACCCACTCACAGAGACGCTGGGGCCAGCAGTCAAGGTGGGAGTCCTGCAGCCGTCCCCACACACCTGTGCCAGTCCTTCTACAACGAGCGGAACTTAGCGCCCGGGAAGCCAGAAACCCCGTATGTACTCTGACCCCGTGCTTTTGTAGGTGAGGACACAAAGG